TTATTTTAATCAAATCTGTGCAACAATTCTGCAGAACTTCAACTGCTTATGCATGGATGAAAATTTAAGTCCGATCGTCACCTCATCTTTCCCCCTCCTTAAACTAAAAAAAAAAAAAAAAGCAATCCTCAGCAAATCTGAGGTTAAAAGACTAAATAAAGAAAACTCTCCTGCAAGCATCAAAGTCACTCACTTCTTCCATTTCTCTGCCACACTTGGAGTTCATCTCTTATGCCTAAGCTCAATGCCCTGCGACCTGTGAAGCGACAGACACATCTGTATTTAGGCAGCACCATGAAATTCCACAGCTGAGTTCTCTAAACATCACACTGACAAGGTAGGGAAGTCAGATAAGAAGGACTGCAGGACATAAGTAGGCTGACAGAAGTCCACATCCCAGCACTGAGGTAAAGATATCCAAGATGTCGTCTACTCTACTCCTTAAACTCTGGGGAAAGAGATTCCTCAGCATCACGAGGTAATCCAGTCCAAGTTTTTAGCACCATATGCAGTGTTTCACACTTTGCAGATATTTGGAAGAACTGGAGACCTGGATCTCCACTTATGAGCGCAACAGCCAGGCTGCCAGAATTCTTCATGCACCAGTGCATGTGTCAGGGAGTAACTGCTGCAAAGCACCAACATGTTTCTCCCTGCAGCCCAGTCCAGCCAAGCCCCAACCACCACAACTGAAGAAAAGCCTCAAGCAGAGGCTCGGCCTCAGTCACCTCATGCACAGAAAAAGCACATATCGAGCCAAAAAGAAATGCAAAGTGAGGTCCAGCCTTACTTGCCTCAGCCATAGATTCTGGAGATGGCAAGGCTTGTTTGGTGCGTAGATGAGGCACAAAGCAATCTCTTACTTTATACAGTTTCATTCCAAGAGACAGAGTTCCCAGTTATGTTTCTTTACACATGCAGATGTGTACCATCACCGTGGCAGCCCCACAAAACATTCCGCTCACAGCGGCTCGTATGGCAGCGAGCAATTGAAAAATGAAAGTAATCAAGAAAGACTGAGGATTCCGAAGCTACAAAAGGTAAGAAGAGTATCGCTGTAGTCCAGCAGCCTGCCCAAATTGCCAGGAATATGGTATTGGCCACTTCTTAGCAAAACCTTGCCTGAGTTCTCTTACCAGATTCGGACCTTAAATGCAGTTACAGAAATCACTCACACTTAACATGGCTGTCCCAACAGCGTAATCATTCACCACCATGAAGTAAATGGAATCACCTCATTACTTTTCTCAACTGAGTCAGCCAACAATGTATTTTCTTAATAAACTTTCTCACAACTTGCCAATGCTTCTAAACTATTATAAACACATCTTGAAAGCGTACCACAGTTTTAATCGGTTTCAAACATCAGATGTGAGGTTTGATACTTAAGATAGTTCTGACTCCATGTCATTTAATGGCTCCCTTTGTCTATGAAAGCAGAGATAAGAAAGTTATCTAGGACATTCACTGTAAGGTCTCTAATTTAAGAGGAAGTCTCCTCTGTCACTGACTGCTGTTACTTTTCATAGGACACCAGGCAAGTGGTCGTAGAGAAGCAGCCCTCATCCCACACGGAGTGACCACTTAGTATCAGGACAACTAACCAACGGGTGCCCCTGCAGCCTCGAAGAGGGATGCTCTTCTAAGCCTGTTTTAATCTCCAGGGGAAAAAAAATACTTAACTACAGTAAGAACTTAGCGTGGTATTTTGAGGAGGTGGCTGGAAATTATTTCTTTTATAAAGATTCCCCATCAGCTTTTAAATTAGCGTGCCGGTTCTTATTCTCAGTTTCCTAATCACCTGCAACTTGGTCCTGTTGCCTTCAGTGAGTGTTAAATCGACTCCCCTGAACTCTGCAGGGTCCAGAAAACGGCTTAAGGCCACACAGTGAACTGTTCAGCACCAACACGGAGTTAATTGAGCAGGCCTTAGATATCCATCTCCAAGCATCACCCATCAAAAGCGTTCCCCCACAGAAGCTCTAAACAGAATCCAGACCTCCAGATCTGAGGCTACGTAAACACATAATCCCTAATCAGCAGGCATAGCACTTATTTGTCTTTTGCTGTAGAAGAAAGCCAGATGATCTATCAACCTATTCACTTTGACTATTTACACGTATTTTAAATCTTTGCTTACATAAAACTACAATGAAGTATTTTAGAACAGAGCATCTGCCAACATGCATACAGTACTCTGCTGAAGGCAGATGCATACCGTAAGGTGCGTGTAAGATCATTAGTTAGCTATGACAGGTGATTTGCTGTGATTTATCTTTAAGGATCACCTCATTCACGAGGAAAATTGACTGTCGGCCCCATCTATAACCTATATATGCAGTCTAGATACTTGAAAATGATAATAGGTTAGAGGATGCAGCAGACAACTCTCCAACACGAGCCAAAATATTTAACCTGAAACCTTTTGGAACAGAACCCAAAAGCATCAGTAGCCCAGCCAGAACTCCTACTAACATGGAATTGCCAGGGGCTAATGAACACAAAACTCTTTACCTAACGCATAATTTTACTGTTGCTGGGAGAGCACTGCTCAGTCATTTCGGTACAGATCCAAGAAATTTGCTTCTTATGGTTTTGTCTCTGTTTGAGGCAGACACAAATTAAAGCTAAATTAAGAGCTGTGGCTCAAAATGAGTCAACGGAACGCAGGAACAAAGGTCAGAATGCAGATCTCTACCCTGCAGGTGCATATCCTGGGCACACAGCGAAACGGGGCCATCCACTCCCTTGGGACAGCTGGCAACAGAAGCAGGACTGAAACATTTCAGGTTGGAGCCGAGCGGATATGGATCAATCAGCAAACCCTACCCAGGTGGAATGGTGTGCCCTGGGTTTCACTGGAGTGGCAAGCCAGCAGCAACTCTGCTAGAAATTAAACCGTGCTCAACATTACACATTTCCTCTGCTTACAACACATTGCTACTTCATGGGCCTCCTTGCAGCACCGCAGCAGGATGGACAACGGCTCAGTCCAGCAACAGCAGCTGAACTTGCACGTAGTATTACCAACAGCCATTCCACTTCACCCTCCCACATCTAAACAGGCTTCTGGCTCCCCACACATCAGACTGAAAGCTCCGAAGTACAGCCTGGTGATTCAGTCTATGCAAGCTAGCTTCAAGATTGGGCCAAAAACCTTAAGTGAACCATCTTAGCAGCTGCCACAAAAGCCAACAACCCATAATCAATATCTACCATGCTTAAGACAAACTGCCTCCCTCCAAAACATTTCTGTGCCTGCAAAGAATATAAGAGACGACAAATTTCAGAAGCTCTAGCTATGCACGGCTTAAGAACCCCAGAGAGAGCCCCTCGTTTTTCCAACAGCAGCGCACGCTTAATGCAAAGCCAGCAGTGATGAAAGCAATTGAGACACCTGTGAGATACCACAAAACACATTTGGAAGAAAGATCATCACCAAGGCACGTGCGTTGCACAAACTAACAACACTTAAAAATTGCTCAAAACATTAAACACAATGAACTTGAAAATACTGAATGTGTTAAAGTACTTTTGCATGACTTCATTCTGGACCTTTTTATTCCCTAATTTGACTTCGGTTTTTAGTCTAGATTATAAAGAAGATTTAAAACAGGGAGCTTATTTCCCCTTCCAACGAAGCCTTCCCATTAATAAAAAGGAAACAAAGAAAATGAAGAAAGTGAGTAGTAAAACTTTTACAACATAATAAAATATATCAGAATCCCATTGCAACAGCATTGGAATTGTCTGAAGATGCTGAATTATGATAGGTTGTCATATAAAGTTCAGTCCAGAGTATTAGCAATCATACTCTCCAGCAACATGCATATAATTGGGAGATCTTCATAATAACCCTCAGCTTTAAAGGCTCATAAAAACTGTGTTTTACTCATGATTTGCAAGAGGAAAGAAGAAATTCTTAAAGGAAAGGAAAATCTTTTACTCAGTAAGGAAGAGTCGGGAGGCAACACACCACGTCTTTAAAGCAGGCAACCCTAAATGCCCCGTTTTCCTTTAGTGATTTTTGGTGAAAATAATATATAGTCAGTTTAAAAAGATACACGGGATACATACATCTCTATAGCATACACACTAGAATGAAAATTAGTATCACACAGCGCAGAGAGGAACCCTCTGAAAGCATGCCGTAAGCAACACCTGCCACATTGTATTTTAATGCAAGTACTGAGGGGCTCTAAGGTAAAGATCTCAATGCAACCTTGTAACTCAAAGTAAACACAGAAAGGAAAAGATGCTAGTTTTATGAATTCTGTATCAAATACATTTATTCACCTCCGTGCTATCATGTGAAAAATAATTGTAAACATCCTGTGAGCACTTGACGCTCTCAGTATCCCAAATCTCTTCACATTTTCTCAGTTTCTTCCTCGACACTCTAAATCAAGATCCTCTCAGTGTGTTAGCGAGTCAACTGCTGAGTGCCATAAACTTCCCATTATCCCAGTCATCTCTGGACTCGCCAAGGCAAAACTAAGGTAATGAATAGGATGCTGAAAGTTCTGAATGGTAACAGTAAAATACAACCTGCCATCAAACCCGGCTATTTTAACTTCATACTTTTGCCAGAGTAAAGCCTTTTTGTAAATAAGAAGTGTTTGTTTTCAAATAAAGTTGCTTCAAGCTGCTTCTGGAAGCACAGTAAACAGTAAAAATAATGCAACAACAATTTCCATTTGGATTGCAAAACCCGACGAAACAAAACAAAACCAGCACACGTCAAAGTCAGAGTTTTCCTACCTGGAACAGGTAAGGACCAGCTCTCAAATGCCACTTGGGGATAGTTCAGACTGGTTATCCCGTTCATGGTTAGATGAGACACCAGCACGAACAAGAAAACAGAACAAGAAGTCTACCCCGTTCCTTCTCCTCTTTTATTGGCAAAGCCTACAGAAGCGGGTGAGACCAGGAAAGCAAGCCGAGGACCCCGACTAACCCAAAAACGCTGCCAGAGAGAAACACGTTTAAAAGAGACTTACTGCTTGCCACGTGACTTGGTGAGGTATGCTGCCCATTGGGTGTACTTGAGGTGAGGTCAATAGCCATGCTGGAGTGCTCCCTTTCGGGTGAAAGCTCATTGTCACCTGCTTTCACAAAATAAGTCACCCATAAGTTTCCATCCCAGCAAAGCAACCCAACGATTAACAACTACGCCTTGCCAGCTCCCTGCACCCCTGTTTGCCTTCCCTTTGCTAGGGGAGCCTTCCAAAGCCTGTGAACACTGGATTCCCAGTGGCCAGAAGGAAATATTTGACAGACTGATTTTAAGAGCTCCCTCAAACCACCCATCACCAGTTTTTTGCAGATACCCTTAACAAAAATCCTGGTCCCACTGCTTTGTCTCGGCAGAAATTAGTATTCTCTATTTGCAAACACTGAGAATCAGGACCAGATAGCAGGAGACTGAATTCCTACTTCACAAGACAGACCTTCCCCCTCGGAGCCTTTGGTCAGCTAACAGTTAAACAATGCACTCAAAAATAAGACATTTTGCCCTAACACAGAAAGCAGAAGAAATGCACAGCAAAAAGCGAAGAAAGTTGCTGGCTGCAGGTTCTGAAAATGAGTGCTCTCTCTCACAAAGTTCATTCATCCTCAGCAAATACTTAAATTGCGAGGCGCTCACTCATGCACCCATACCCACACATTTTTCAATCACACACAAAGTTTATGTTTAAATGCCATTAACTCAGTGGCATCTGACAGCAAAGACCATACAGAAGGAAGCTAAAGTTTCAGGTGCCCGCATTACAGAAAGATAGCGGGGAAAAAAGAAAGTACTATAGAATAATCAAATAAAACGACTACTTACATGTTATATATCCATCAGCAGCCTCTGCTTCCATAGTCAAAGTGCAGTGCTGCAAGGCAGAAAAGTACACCCTCAAAGACACCTGTCAGTATCAACCATTAAACGATTAAACTTACTTAAAGCCCTGAGTAGTTATACCCATTTTGCTGCTGTTGCAACCATTGCCTAGAGAAACACACAAGTGTAGTGCATGTGCTCGCTTGCAAATCACCAAACCCTCCCTGCAAATTATCTGAGAAATCCAGCTGACCCTTGGGCAGGCTGTGCCGGGATCTTCTTGGTCTGACCAAAACCCTCACTGTTCCCCAGTCACTGTTTTTACCCGATTTTAGCTCCCCCACCCCGAGTTTGCACTTGTCCCTTTGAAGCAGGGATTGTAATGCTTTATGAATTGTCAGCTCTCACAGACAGAACAGACCTGCAGGAGTTAGCACTATTAACAATCACTTTTTTCTCACCTACTCCAGGAGACTCTGCCCTGCCCTAACCAAAACAAACCCCTCAGTGCCCGTGCCCCTTGCAGACTGCTGCCACCAGCCCTTGCCTCACAGCAGCCCCTCACAGCAGCACACACACCTGTACACACACCTGTTCCTCCTCACCTCGCTGATCTGCCCCAACACGGGGCTGAACATCACACTTAATGCTCCCAGGCCATGCATTTTGTGGCATGAAGCAATCTTAAAGTTTCTGGAAGCACTTTGCTGACACAGAACAAGCTATTACTTTCCAGAAACCCAAGTAACTGTATAGAATGACACCCCCTAGCTATCATTTGATATATATTGAGGGAAAAAAAAAAAAAAAAAAAAAGAGGAGACAGTGAGGGATCAATAATCTTAACTATGTTCTTTTAACTGGAAAAGTTAAGAAACCAACATGACCAGAGGAGAATTTTATTTCCTCTCTCCCTCCCCGGCCTCTTTTTTGCCTTTAGTTTCAAAACTCTCACTGCACCAGGCAGCTAAATTATTCACAATGAGCCATTTCTGTATTGATCGCCAAGTATATTTAGCCCTGGCTCCTGGAATTTCTCCATTACTTACTGGAAAACAGGCAGCTTCACTTCTTGTCTCCAAAACCACTTCCCTCCCCCTCCTTCAACCCGCTTTCCTCCCGCCTTTCCCCCAATAAATAAATACTTTTCTCTGTGTTCTTCTTTGGTATAAAGCAGATCAAATTCCCAAGGCATTCAGCACATAACACTTAAATTTCAACCTGCCTGGCTGCTACCAAACTCTCTACAGTGACTGATTTTTCCACATGACTTTAAAAGCAACAACAACAACAAAAAAGACCAAACAAACAAATAAAAAAAACACACAGAGAAATCTCTAAAAAGTTTCCAAAACGGGCAAGCTGCTTCCTCAAGCCCTCCCAAATTACCTTCTCTTCCCCCTAGTCCAGGTAGGCAGGCACACAGTGAGTAAAGAGAGAGGCATCAGAAGCAACAGGGAAAGAGCACCCCAGCCAATGGAGTGAAGGAAAGAAACGGGAGGAAGGGAGGAGGAAGACAGGAAAAAAAAAAAAAAAGGCACAGAACCATCCGTAACCCAAATTAAAGCACCGTTTGGGGTTGTTGTTTTTTATTATTATTATTTCTTCAAAGTGGGGAAAGGGGAAGGAAAGAAAAGTTCACTCCCCGTTTTCAGGCTGTGATGGGGAATCCCGGCGGCTCAGCCTTTCAGCCGGGGAGGGGGGCAGAAGGAGAGGCGCTGCAGACACGGAGAGGTGGGGAAAGTTGGAGGAGGGAGAAAGGGGGGAGGTGGGGGCCAGGCGGCCGCCCCGACACTTACAGGTGGGGCATGCGGAGCCGGGCAGCGCGGGATGAGCCGCCGGGAGAGCCGCTCAGGAATGGCACATACTTTCAAGGAAGATGAAGAACAAAAAGGGAGAGAGGGAGGGAGGGAGGGAAAAAGAGAGAGAGAGAGAGAGAGAGAGGGAGGTCAGCCGGTGCTACAGCAATGCGATTAACCAGCAGAGAGAGAGAGAGAAAAACTTGATCCACCGGTTCCTTCCGAATCGGCACAGCAACCGGAGCGGGGGGGCTCGGGCGGCAGCGCACCGCCGGGCGGGCAGCCTAGGCCAACTTCCCGGAGCCGCTCCGGCCCCCCCCCCCCCCCCCCCCCCCCCCCCCCCCCCCCCCCCTCCTTTCCCCTCGGTCCCCCGACGCACGGCCGCCGCGCCTCAGGCCGCAGGTGGCGGCGGCAGGGCCGAGTAACGGGGAGCGGAGCGAGAGCCGCCCGGGGGGGTCGGGGTCGAGGGCGGGGGTCGGGGGGGCTCCTGACGCGGCGTCCCCGAGGGGAGCAGCAACAAGTCGGGCCGCGCTCGGCTCGGGGCCCCCCGCGCTCCCGGGGGAAGGCGAGGGGAGAGAGGGAGGGACGGCACGGGGAGGGGGCAGATTTACCTCAGCCGCGCAGGCAGTGGATCACTTCCATGCCCCCTTTTGTTTGTGTTTTTATTAGTGCCGCCGCCCCGCGCCCGTGCGCGGCCGCCTATGGAAACTGAGGCAGCGGCGCGGTCGCTAAGGGTAATCCTGCCGGCACTTCCTCCATCTTCGGAGAGCAGGGTTAGCCTGGGACAGCTGGTCAAACCCCGAGAAACCGATCCGCCTGCCGCCCTCACACACACACACACACAGGCACCGCGCACTCACTCACTCACTCACTCCCTCACACACACACACACACACACATACGCGCACATACACTGAGGCGCACGCAAGCGCGCACCCGCCCGCAGGCGCGC